GTTCATGCACAAGGACACCCAGGTCCCTCTGCATAGCAGCATGCTGCAACTTTTTACCATTCAAGTAATAATCCTTTTTACTATTACTCCTACCAAAATGTATGACTTCACATTTATTTACATTGTATTCCATCTGCCAGACCTTTGCCCACTCACTCAATGTATCTATGTTCCTCTGCAAAGTTTCACAGTCCTCTGCACACTTTGCTCTGCCACTCATCTTAGTGTCATCTGCAAACTTTGACACCCTACACGTGGTCCCCAACTCCAAATCATCTATATAAATTGTAAATAATTGCGGTCCCAACACCGATCCCTGAGGCACACCACTAGTCACTGACTGCCAGCTAGAATAGCACTCATTTATCCCCACTCTTTGCTTCCTGTTAGTCAACCAATCCTCTATCCATGCTAATACTTTACCCTTAACACCATGCATCCTTATCTTATGCAGTAGCCTCTTGTGCGGCACCTTGTCGAAGGCCTTTTGGAAATCTAGGTACACCACATCCACAGGGTCCCCATTGTCCACCTTGCTCGTAATGTCTTCATAGAATTCCAAAAGATTTGTCAAGCATGAACTAACCTTCATGAACCCATGCTGCGTCTGCCCAACGGGACAATTTCTGTCAAGATGCTTTGCTATTTCTTCCTTGATAATAGACTCAAGCATCTTCCCCACTACAGAGGTTAAGCTAACCGGTCTATAATTCCCCATCTTTTGTCTACTTCCCTTTTTAAACAGTGGCGTCACATTTGCTGTTTTCCAATCTGCTGGGACTGCCCCAGAGTCCAGCGAATTTTGGAAAATTACCGCCAGTGCACCTGCTATTTCTCCTGCCATCTCTTTTAGTACCCTGGGATGCATTCCATCAGGGCCAGGAGACTTATCAATCCTCAGCTCCATTAGCTTGCCCAACACTTCCCCTTCCGTAATAATGATTGTTTCCAGGTCCTCACCTACCTTCATCTCTTTGTCAATTACTGACATGTTATTAGTGTCCTCCACTGTGAAGACCAATACAAAATACCTGTTCAATGCCCCGACCATTTCATCATATCCCATAACTCATCCTCTAAAGGGCCAACGTTTACTTTAGCCACTCTTTTTCGTTTTATATATTTATAGAAACTTTTGCTATCTGTCTTTATATTCTGTGCTAGTTTTTTCTCATGTTCTATCTTACTTTTCTTTATTGCTCTTTTTGTGGCTTTCTGTTGACCTTTAAAGTTTTCCCAATCTTCTAGTTTCATGCTGTTTTTTGCCACTTTGTATGCCTTCTCTTTCAATTTGATAGCCTCCCTTATTTATTTAGACACCCATGGCAGATTACCCCTTTTCTTACAGTCCTTCCTTTTCATTGGAATATACTTTTGCTGAGCACTTTGAAAAATTGCTTTGAAAGTCCTCCACTGCTCGTCAACTGTCCCACCATAAAATCTTTGTTTCCAGTCTACTTTAGCCAAGTCCTCCCTCATTCCATTGTAGTTCCCCTTGTTCAAGCACAGGACCCTGGTATTGGATTTTATCTTCACACTCTCCATCTGTATTCTAAATTCAACCATACTGTGATCACTCCTTCCAACAGGATCCCTAACTATGAGGTCATTAATTATTCCTGTCTCATTACACAGGACCAGATCTAGGATAGCTTGCTCCTTCGTCGGTTCCATTACATACTGTTCAAGAAAACTATCACGGATCCACTCAATGAACTCCTCCTCAAGGCTTCCCTGACCGAGCTGGTTCGACCAATCTACATGTAGATTAAAATCCCCCATGATAATTGCCGTACCATTTTTACAGGCATTAATTATTTCTTTGTTTATTGCCCGCCCCAATGTGATGTTATTATTTGGTGGCCTATAGACTACGCCTATCAGTGACTTTTTCCTCTTAGAATTTCTAATTTCCACCCAAATGGATTCAACCTCATTCTCCATAGAACCTATATCATCTCTCAGCACCGCCCTGATGTCGTCCTTGAATATCAGAGCTACACCACCTCCCTTACCTTCCTGTCTGTCCTTCCAAATAGTCTGGTACCCTTGGATATTTAACTATGCCATTTGGCCCAAGGCATCCCATCCAGACGTAACTTCCTGCCCAGTCCCTGTAACCCTACATTTCCCATGGTTAATCCACCCAGCTACATATCCCTGGACATCACAGGCAATTTACCATGGCCAATCCGCCTAAACTGAACATCTTTGGACTGTGGTAGGAAACCAAAACACCTGGAGAAAACCCACATAGACAGCTGTCCAAGACTGGAATCGAACCCAGGTCCCTGGTGCAATGAGGCAACAATGCTAGCCACTGTGCCACCATGCTGCCCAATTGTTTGGTGTGATGCAATTGTTTCTCTATAGTAAAAGGCAGAAATTGTCTCGCTTCCAAAGATAATTCACATCAACTTGTAAATAGACTGAGGCCATTCATCCCACAACTTTGTTCCAATTTTCAAAGAAATTGATGAGCAAAGTCACTCATTTCCTTCAAGTGCCATAACTGCATATTTGTTGAAACACATGCCCAGAATAAATCCATTAATTTTGACATGGAAAGCACTCAACTTTCTCAGTCTTTAGGAAGAGAGAATTTCACATTTCTTCAGATTTCCAAGACTTCCATGCGCAGTGCTTGCATGTGAATATTGAGTAGAGACCAGATTGGGCTTGGCTGTGATGCTTCCATGGCTAAATAGCTTGCTGTGCTAATAGAAAAGGCTCAAACCTGACTAATGGCTGATTGGAGGGTCCATATCTGTGAGAAATTTGAGAACTCTGAGAGAAAAGAAACTGCTGAGAACAAATTATTGGCACAATTGGAAACAAAATCTTTCCCTCCCCAGATTTCTACAGGCATTAATGAAGGCATTTTTCAGGTGTCCTGTAATATTTTTGATCTTTTAGTGTTCTGATTATTACACAATGCTTTAGAGGAACAAATTGACCCAGTGCAGCTTCTGAACAAACCCAGGGTGGTGGAGTTGGGAGTTCATTCTTTTCAGGAAATAGAACAAATCTTTTCCACACTAGCAGGATGGCATCATGGAACCATCATCCACTTTAGCACCAAAGGAAGCCCTTTGGTCTATCATGGATGTTTCAGAACTTTCATAGAATTATCTCATCAATCACTGTACTCTGCTTTTGACCCACAGACCACAAATAGTTCGTTCCCTTCTAGTGCTTATCTGATTCCTTTTTGAAAGTTATCGTTGAATCTGCTTTGCAGTGCTTTCTGGATCACAACAACACACCACATAAAAATTGTTTTATAATGTATCTGGTGTCAATCAATATAAAGACATTTGGTGGAATTGAAATCAAGACATGCATGCCTTTGCTTTTGTGGATAAATATTACTGACTTACTCAGTCTTACTGTTCCCATCCCACATCCAGTTTCGCAAATGTTCACTATTTATGTATTCAAATAAATAATAGTCACCACCCCTTTTCTCTTAATCTAAAATAAAATAATTAACAAACATAATAATATGATTAAATAGATATTAATATCCAGTTCTTTTTCCAGTCATCACAAATCAGTGTCCTGCCACTGGAATCAGCTCGACCTTGTTTCCTTCAGCAAAAGTATTGATTTTTAACACCTCTATCAAATCTTGCCTCAAATCAGTGCACGAGCACGTGATGCTGACCACAGCCAACATTCGGTTGCGTAGATCCTCTTTTCTGACTGGTCCTACAGTGCTTACTACATTAAAAGTAGTTGAGAAAAAGTACTTGAGAAGAGGCTTTGGTCTTACACAAGATGTAGTTTATTGCATGATAGCAATATGAGATTATAATCACTTAAGTGTAGGTCTGGATCCCTTGAGTTTCTTAACTGTTCTGCCTTGACCCGCCCAAGTCCTTAAGATATCATCAAGCTGGATGGAGGTTCAAACATCATTCAGCATTAACCCTTCAAGTACCATTAGCTTGTACAACACACTCCAGTTTGTCCAGAGTCTGCACATTACAGTAGTCACTCACTGCTGCTGCTTATTCTGGTTATTGCTTCTGCATGGTCTCTGAGACATCCATGCTAAAGTGCAGAGCCAAAACCGAGCAAAAATCCTGAGCTGAAGTCGAACCCCAGTATTATAATAAGGGCTACTATAACTTCTTTGCTTTTGACAATAAGCCTTCACTAAAAAAGCCAGGGAGTTCAGATGGCTTCTTTAACAGCCTTCTTAAAAATATGTGTATTAACATTGCCTCATTGTTTCTGTAATTCCATTTGAAATTAGGTTTTTATTGCACTTTCATTCTTGTAAAGAAATTGCATTACCCTTCACACTTCTCTGAATTAAACTTGATTTGTGTCTGTCCAGTTAACCATTCTGCGTTCTTCTGAAGTGTGTTATGATCCTCCTTGATAATCGCTACATATTTTGAGTTTTGAATTATCTGCAAACTTTTGACTGATGCATTATATATATTAAAGAGCCATTGTTCAAACACTTAGCCGTGAGGAATATCACTGTACATCCCTTTGCAGTCTGAAAAAAACGCCTTTACCACTATTCTTGGCTTTCTGTCCCTTATCCAATTTTAATTCCATGCTACAATTTTACATTTAATCCTGTGGGCTTTAGTTTTGCTAACAAATCTATTAAGAGATACTTTGTCAAACGCCTTTTGAAACTCCATTGAGACAACGTCAACCACACAGCCCTCATCAAGTCTTTCTATTACTTCATCAAAGAACTCAGTCAGTGCAGTCAAACACAATTTGCAAGTCTGTGCTGACTTTCATGTATTGCCTATACTTCTTCAATTGCCAATTAATTTGAGATTAGATTATTGTCTCTGTGAACAGTGACTTTTTAAATTGGCACACACTATTCTGTCATGACAGGACATTGCAAACATAAAACCTCAGAGATAAAAAGGATTGTTTTTGAACTTGTTCCTGTTAGCCTTAAAGAGAAGTTAATTATATTTTAACCAGTTTCTGAACTTTTTTGAATATTTTTTTCTCCTCAGGTGCTTTTGGTATTTAAAGCCAACGTGCGGGAGGGGATTAAACACTATTATGATGACTTGGATTTCAAAAACATTCTGGATCGCATACAAATCAAGGTCAGTCTCTGTTGTGATTGATCAGTAGCTGTGGTATGGGTCTCCTAGCTTCTGTCACTTTTGTCTTTGAGGTGCACTTCCCTAATGTTGAACAGTTAACTATGGCCACCTCTGTTTGAAGTCATTATTTCCCTAACCAGTTCTACCAGTGTGCACAGAATTGCTGTATTCTGTATGATATGAAAATCTGAAGCCCCTAATTTTCTTATGATATATGAAAGCTCAGATCTCGTGGGAATTTTGTTTTGCTGACATATTTCAATTATTACCTTAATCTAACAGTTGGGCGGGGTGGGGGGGAATATGAAGAAAGTTTAAACTGAGACAGGCCTCTCTGCATTATTTCCATGTGCAATTTCTCCTTGCAAAACTTTCCTGTCTTTTTTATAATACAGTCTATTTATTTTCCAGTAAAGAGGGAGGCATGGAAAACATTGTCCACTGCCCTTCTCTAAAAACCAACCAGTGTTTGTGGTAAGTTAGTTTACTGATCTTCCCTTCTTTAAAAAAAGTGCATTGTGGAACGTCTTTTACAAATTATATCCCCAAAGTGCTTTTCCAGCAAATATGGTCACTGTTATAATGTAAGAAGCATGAGAGGCAATTTGCTCATGTCAGACTGCTCAAGTAGCAATGATACTGGCCAGTAAATCTGTTTTTAGAACTGTTGATTGAGGCAAAAGTATTGACCAGGGCACTTGGCAGAACTATGCTCCTGCTCTTCTTTGAGATATTGCCATTTGATCATTTGGAGTCCACCTGAGAAGAAAGAAAGGGCATTGGTTTAAAGTCTCATCCAAAAAGTGAGACCTCTTACAATAAAGCACTCCGTTGATGCTACACTGGAGTGTGAGCCCACACTTCTTCATTCAACCTTTGAAATGGAATTTGGACTTTGAACCTTCCAAACTGTTAGGTCACCCACTAACCCCAGCTACCAATGAGCATGTATTTGGCAATGAGTTTGAGCTATCCTGTCAAACAATTGCTTGAGGCAAATTTACTTATTGATGCTGTTTTCCACTGGTCTTTGTGAACCAGCTGACAGTGACTGTCATGGATTGTCATAACTCAACTTACGAAAGACAGGGATTTAAATCGGCACCAATTTAGCACAGAGTTGCAGAACACGGAGATCAATTATTGGTAAGTCACCTCGAAGATGGATGTGAAATGGCTGTGGTTTATGGAGTAGTTTAGGAATTGGCTGGGCAGTCATTCTTCCACAAAGGCAGCTTTGAATGCCTGACTCTGCCACTCTCCCAGGATTATCTCAGAATGCTGACAATGAGAAATTGCTAACTGTTCGTGTCAGTGAGAATCAAATAGTTCCAATTGGCACTTTTCTGATGCTGGGTAAAGATTAAATTGCACTAATGTGAGCAGCAGAGAATGCATCACACTGTGCAAAAGGAGAAATATTATGGACGAATTCAACTTCAAAATGACGTCCTGTTTTGTGTTCAAGGTGAATAAAATTATCAGCATGATTTGCTTTGAATTAAACATGGCTTAATTTGAACCTCGGTACATCCTTTGTATGAGCTGAAAACATCCTGCATTTAAGTCCCTTAAGTAATTTTTACAAGTGCTTACTTGCTATATGCTGCAACAGAAACATGTATTCTGTTCAGCAGGAACTGCAGTGATGCAGTGATGTTATTCAATTAAACTACATAGAAGTATTTCAGTGAAATCACCAGCAGAGTCATCAGTGGTGGAGAATCAAGGCTGCTTTTCCCCAAAATATTCATTCAACTTGATCAGCCTTGAGAAAGTGATCTATGGCCTTGAGCCCATGGGACACAGTTGTCCCAAATTTGGCACTTGCTGGCATCAGTATGATTGGCGGAGCTATCCAAATGTTGGAATGGAAAATGGCGATTTCAGTAGTTCTTATTTGGGGAAATAGCACCATATTTTCATTTCATTCTAGCTTGACCTTTTTCATTGCTGCATGCTTCTTCAGTTGTCTTGACCCTAAGTTCTGGAATTCTCTCCTGAAACCTCTCCACCTTTTACCCTCTCTTCATTTAGCATGGACTCAAAACCAGTCTTCGATGAAGTATTTCGTGAATGTATCCTAATATCATCATATACTGTCGTAGTTGGTTGGCTCACCGAGCTGTTTCATTGCTTTGCAGACGTTTCATTACCCTGCTGGGTAACATCATCAGTGCAGCGTCCGATGAAGCGCCGTTGTGTTTTGCCGCGAGTTATTTAAACTCTGGAGTCCATTGAGCTGGATTACCTCACTTCTGGCTTTCCTTTGCTGTGGAGTGTAGATGGCATCAAGCTCTATGTTTTTGTTGATGGCTTTCTTCGTGGAGTACCAGGCTTCTAGGAGTTCCCGTGCTTGTCTCTGCTTTGCTTGTCGCAGGAGCTTGGTGTTGTCCCAATCGAATCGGTGGTTCTCCTTATCCATGTGGATTGAGATGAGTGAGTATTGGTCGTGTCTTTTTGTAACCAATTGATGTTCACGTACCCTTGTTGTTAATTTCCTTCCTGTTTGTCCGATGTAGTGTTTGTCACAGTCTCTGCAGGGAATCTTGTATATGACATTGGCCCTGTCCATAGTGGGTCGTGGGTCTTTAGTTCGGGTGAGCAGTTGTCGTGGGGTTGATGTGGGTTTGGATGACCACTGGGCATCAGAGTAGCAAACAAACATCAACCCTACGACAACTGCTCACCTGAACCAAAGACCCACTACCCCTATAGACAGGACCAATGTCATACACAAGATTCCCTGCAGAGACTGTGACAAACACTGCATCGGACAAACAGGAAGGAAACTAACAACAAGGGCACACGAACACCTACAGGCTACAAAAAGACACGACCAATACTCACTCATCTCAATCCACATGGATAAGGAGAACCACCAGTTCGACTGGGACAACACCAAGCTCCTGGGACAAGCAAAGCAGAGACAAGCACGGGAATTCCTAGAAGCCTAGTACTCCACGAAGAAAGCCATCCACAAACACATTGAGCTCGACCCCATATACACTCCACAGGGAAGGAAAACCGGAAGTGAGGTAATCCAGCTCAATGGACTCCAGTGTTTAAATAACAAGTGGGAAAACACAACAGTGCCTCATCGGGAGCTGAACTCATGATGTTACCCAGCAGGGTTAACGAAACGTCTGCAAAACAATGAACCAGCTCGGTGAGCCAACCAACTACAACATCCACAACCCAAGCTACAAATCTACTCTAAAACCTTAGATCATCATAAACTACATGTTGTCAAATTTTGCTTGATTTGTCCCTGTGAAAAGCCATCAGACATTTTTTAAGCGGTTGGTGAATTTTACTAATCCTAATGGCTTTTGATATTTGCATTCAAAAGCGCAGAACCACAGGAGATTACAGTGCAGGAGGGGGCCATTCGGCCCATTGTACCAGCACGGGCATAATAAGTGAACATCACGGTCGAATGCATTCTAGCAGTTTATCAGCAGAGTCCTGTCAGAAGCTTGGCAGCCTGCCTGGGCATGGAGATTCGTATCAAAGCAAAGATGATAACCTAGAGTTTGAACACTGGGCAGACTTACTACTTGGGCACTGCTAACACACTCGTCCAAAAACTGGAAAGAAACACATCCTTTAGAATGAGATTGACTAAACCTTGGGCATAAAAAACAGACCAAATTACATGAAACCGATAAAGCAGAAGTGTTCATTTTGTTAATTGGTACCAGGCCCCAAACCCTTAAATATTAAATGCATTAAATAACACAGGACACAGGTTTCAAGAACAGATCATCATTTTCTTCGGCCACTTGTCACTCCATAAAGTATTGCTTACTCGGGATCAGTTTAGTGCATGGAATACACAGTCTGTTCCTTTTTGCTCTGATCTATAACATGCAATGTGCACTGAACAGAGTGGAATCAGCTATGGAATAGGGGAAAAGCATTGGGAAGAACAGCCACAATGCTGTTGGACATGTAAATCTGAAATAAAGGGGCATTTTGCAGGCAAATATATAACTTGTAATTTTGTATTTCGGCAGGAATACAAATGAAAGGTTGTGATTTAATAGGTAAGCCTGAGCTAAATCCATAATACCCTTGGATTAAACTCCTGGCTGCTAGATAAAATGCTGTCCTTTCAGAGCTGTCACTGTTGGGCAACTCCTCTGTGTGGGATTGTCAACTATGCCATAAAGCATTGACTCCTTCTTAATAATATGAAGCTACATTTGTCACCATAAGTGCATGGAACAGTCAAATGTCATTCACATTCTTACCTTTTTACCTTGAACCTCATTTACTTTGATTGATTGAACCATTCATTCAGAAAGATCTAGCAATCTAGGTATGGACAGTCCCATCCTGGATGTTATTTCACTCTGACATCAGCTCAAATGGATGGGTCTCAGGAACAATCATATTGTCATCAAGCAGGCCACACTTAAAACCCAGGAGGAAGTGAAAATAATAGAACTTGTCCCTCATTCTTTGAGTGGTTTAAAGAGAGCAAAATTAAAATTGGGGCATTCACATGGGATGAAGGCAGAAGCTGAAACATCATATACTTGACTTGGAAAAATTATTTTCACCTATCAATAGATTTTTTTTGATCAAAGTGGAGAAGCTTGACATTCCACAATCTATGATTTGTTTTCCAGGATGAAGGGATTCTCCATTAATAATTGTGAACTTAATAAGCTGCTAAAAACCCAGCTCCACTCCATTAAATACATTCTAACTTTTGAGGAGTTTTTCCTACAATACAAATCATGTCAAAGCAGAGGTCACATTTACCCAGATGTTTCCAGATGATTTCCAGCAGCAGTGAATCCTGTGAAAGTGCAACAATCTAGATTTCTGCACTGAACTGCATTGATGGAGACCCCAAGTTGTGCAACACAGCAAGTTTTGCTGTCATTGCAACCACAGAATTTAAGGTGCAATTTTCCCAGCCACTAAATGATGTGGGCATTGGTGAGAAAGCTGGGAAAATAGGGGTAGGTCGCCATAATGAGATTCTT